GTTTTCGTCGCGCTGTGATGACGTCACATGCGCGCTTTCGTCGAGCGCGATTTTGTCCTCCACGCTTTTGACGGGTCACGGTTTTCCTCATGTGGAAGGTGATTTTTCAGAAAACTGCACATGTGTGTAGCGCACACGAACCGAACTGGTTGTTAAACCGGTAGAATCACACCCCTGTATACAGGGGATATCCAAACTTTGTGATTCCATGACAATACAAGCTCTTCCCCCTTTTGTACATGGGTCATATACATAAAAGGAACGTGGCTAGTATTTCCATGGGTCAACTCTACTTTTGTCATTTTTATGAAAAGTATCATTCCCACGGATGCATAAAATGCACCATGCCTAATGTTTCATTCTGTGTGTACAGTGCCTCAATTCTCACTTCTTTATTGATTCTTCTTGGAAATGTTTTTAAGGAAATGTTTTTCTGTGTGCTGCATAAGCGGTAATCTTCCAGGGCAAATCCGTCTCTGTCTCTGTGGCTGCTTTGAGTGGGTCTTTCCTACTCTGTCTTACATTCACATCCCCTCTTATCTTCATACAAATAGATGCGGATAGGAGCGACGTCAATGTAGACACAGTTGTGTTCATGAATTATGAATGAGATACAAATGAATACCGTGCACTATGTGTAATGCCTGCCTAGGAACACCGAAGTAGCATGGTCACATCTATACCTAATTATCTCCTTCTACCAACTATACTGGCATATGGGAAATGAAATTATTACATTTTGCTAATAGCAAAAGAACAAAAGGATATGTTAAGTAGGTGTCAGTGCAGTACATATATTTCCTAGTTAGTGGAATAACGACAACAGCATGTTGTCTTCACAGTAAAGATAATCTCTGGATTAGAAATCCTAATTTTTGCATGCTTGGGATGGTTTTAGTTGTACTTGTGACATATTGGCCGAAATATGCCAGAAATGCCCTTATCATTAGCAGATAACGTTGTATGTAGCATAGGAAATAATGACAGTGTAAAGCCTAGTGTATACTTTCTCTATTTTCAAGTTTACTAAAAAGTGTCATTCCTAGAATCTCCCAACCCTTACCCTCCATTGCACTTGGTGAACATATCTTGCATTTTATCAAGTTTCCACTCTCCACAGAATCTCTCCGTCTCTCAGAAACTGGATGCCAAGTGTGTTTTACTGCCAGGGATACATTTGTGCTTGGCCAGGTGTGCTAGCCCTTGTTTATACACAATGCTCATAAAGTTGTTTTGAGTTGTACATTTTTACTACATGTTTATTGTGGTTGGTTGCACAGTCAGCCTGGTGATGTTTAGACTGAATTTGGCATTTTTATCCACCTACCCAAGTACTTGGAATAGACAGGTGGTGCTGTTTAATGGGGTGAAAGGCATCATCTCAGGATGTAAGCTATTCTAACTAAAGCTACATAAAATACTACGGTATTTTTTTATGTGTACCTACCGTGTTTCCCCTAAAATAAGACAGGGTTTTATTTTCTTTGCCCCCCCCCAAAAAAAATAAGTACTTGGCCTTAATTTTGGGGAGCTCTTATTATTTTGAGGTGCAGGTGGCAGCGAGCGTGTTCACCTCATGACTGCTGCTGTGTTGCAATATTTTGGGGAGGGCTTATTTTTAGGGGAGGGCTTATTTTAGCGCATGCATGCAAAAGCCCAATTGGGATTATTATCCAGGGAGGTCTTATTTTCAGAGAAATAGGGTATACAAGAAGCAAATGGAGTGCTATCAACTATTCATCTGTGCTAGGGTGTGTGATGATGTGCTTAATATTTTAATGACTTTTGATTCTTTTGATTCAAGAGCCATGGTGGCAGGAAAGTGGCTAGAATGCAGTATTGCGGGTTAACTCTGCCCACTGCCATGAGTTCAATGCTAACCAGCTCAAGATTGACTCAGCTTTCCACCTTTCCGAGGTCGGTAAAATGAGGACCCAGATGTCAGGGGCAATATGCTGACTCTGTAAATTGCTTAGAGACCGCTGTAAAGCACTCTGGAGCGGCATATAAGACTAAGTGCTATTTTTCTATTTCTATTTCGCCTCTTTTGTCTGCTATGTTGCATTATCCATCTTAAACATTCATTGTCTGATGAGAAGAAATTATCTTAAAGATGTAAACTAAGTTAACTTGCTCAGAGTATATTTTCTCTTTTTCCTCCATTCTTTTGGAAGATTACAGTGAGATTCTTTTGTCTAATGCCATAATAAATTTAACCAAGCACATATCCTTTACATCTAGGTCAGTCAGAGGGACAATCCAGCACTTGAACCTATTATCCATGGGCTGAAGGGGGTCGTACATCATGGTAAGTAGTTTCTTAAAGTTTGATTGTGCTAAGAAAAGTAGAAGACTCACAGTGGGTCACCTTTTCAAAAGACAACCTGAATTGTATATGTCTCCTGTAATGATATTTGAGGCCATGGAAGCTGTTATTCAGATGCTATAAATCCCAGTTACATTTATTAGCTGAAATAGCTTTGGACGAATATTAAAAGGGGTCCTTTCTTAGCTTTCATTTGGAATATTTCATTTAGGACATTTTTGCAAAGAAAGCCAGATAAGAATATTATGGTTTCTTATATTTTGTGCTTTCAGATAATATTTGGTTTGCTGAACATTGATCTTTTTAAAATAATTAAAAAATAAGTGCTTAATTTTTTCTATTTTTTATGAAGTATTTGTCCTTACAATTTTACAGAGTTGATAATGGATCTTTAATTTCCACAGATAACTAATTTATCTCAGGATAAAATTTAGGAGAATGGCTGGTAAATGTCACCATTTCTCTTAGTCTGATGTATCTAATCTAAAGGATGAATTGGAATAAATAATGAAATAAAAACCATATCACAAATTTCTATTTTTTTAAAAAATATATTAAGAAATAACCTTATTACCAGTAATTATAATGTGCAATTATAGCAAAGCTGTGTCAAAATCAACTTTGTCAGATTTTTATTGTAATGATTTGCAAAGTATTAATCATTCCATTACAATTAGCAAAGAAAAGACTGGGAGATTGTAGTGAATCTCAATTCCATCTAAACACTATTTCCACTCCTTTTCAAGGAGATTGTTTTTAGACATTTAGAGAAATGCAGAGCTTAACAACATTTTGTTTCCTTCTTGACTGGAAACCTAAAATCAGTTTTTAGTGGCAGATTAAAACTAATAGGTTTCCAGATTACCCATATTTTTCGGAGTATAAGACACACTGGAGTATGATGCACCTAGGTTTTGAAGAGGCGTTTTTTTAAAAAAAAGTAGATAGGTAGATAGAGGGAGAGAGAGAGAGAGAGAGAAATACAGTAGATAGGGAGAGAGAATGTGTGTAGGTAAGTAGGTAGGTAGAGGGATAGAGAGAGAGAAATAGAGAAAGATAGAGAGAAAGAAATACAGTAGATAGGAAGGGAGAGAGAGAATAGGTAGGTAGGTGTATAGATAGATAGAGGGGGGAGAGAGAAATACGGGAGGGAGGGAGGGAGGGAGGGGGAGAGAGAGAGAGAGAGAGAGAGAGAGAGAGAGAGAGAGAGAGAGAGA